CAAAGGACCTGAATAGACACTTCTCCAAGAGGACATACAGATGGCCAAGAGACATATGAAAAGATGCTCAAGGTCACTAACCATCAGAGAGATGCAAATTAAAACCTCAATGAGATATCACCTCACACCTGTCAGAATGGCTACTATCAATAAATCAACAAACAAGTGCTAGCGAGGGTTTGGAGAAAGGGGAACCCTAGTGCTCTGTTGGTGGGAATGCAGACTGGTGCAGCCACTGTGGAAAACAGTATGGAGTTTCCTCAGAAAATTAAAAATGGAACTGTCTTTTGACCCAGTGGTCCCACTTTTGGGTATATATGCTAAGAATCCCAGAACACCAATTTGAAAGGATACATGCACCCCTGTGTAGATAGCAGCATTATCTACAATAGCCAAGATTTGGAAACAGCCCAAGTGCCCATCAGTAGATGAGTGGGTAAAAAACCTTTGGTACATTTACACCGTGGAATACCATGCAGCTGTAAAAAAGAAGTATCTCTTATCCTTTGGGACAGCATGGAAGGAACTAGAAAGTATTATGCTAAGTGAAATAAGCCAGTCAGAGAAAGACAAATACCACATGATCTCACTTATATGTGGAATATAATAAAATAAACTGATAAACAAAGTGGACCCGGAGACATAGAAGCATGGAACAGACTGAGGGATCTCAGAGGGAAGGTGGGGATGGGGGTGTGGGTGGGGAGAGATTAATCAAAGAACTTACATGTTTATAAGCATAACCCATGGACAGAGACATTGGTATGGGGAAGGCCTGGGGGTGGAGTGGATGCAGGGTGGAGGGGATCAATGAAGAATAAAAGGGACATTTGTAATACTTTCAACAATAAAAATTAAAAAAAGACACAGTGACTCAGAGCATTGTACAACCATTGATACAGAGGTTACAGCCCTGAGACCTGTGTCCTTTCTGATTAAAATATTTCTGGAGCCCATCCAGGCGTGGCTCAGCAGTTGAGCGTCGACCTAGGATCCAGGCGATCAGGGTTCGATTCCCGGTCAGGGCACATGCCTGGGTTGCGGGCTGCAGCCAATCAATGGTTCTCATCATTGATGTTTCTATCTCTCTCTCTCCCTCTCCCTTCCTCTCTCTGAAATCAATAAAGATATAAAAAAATAAATAATAATAATAAAATATTTCTGGAAAGACTTATTACATAACATTGGCTTAAGGAAAGGTAAGCTCCCACCTTGGCCAGGTGGCTTAGTTGGTTGGTGCGTCATCCCACACACCAAAAGGTTATAGGTTCTCGGGTTGGGGCGGGCACGGAAGCAGCCGATCGATGTTTCTCACATCAGTGTTTCTCCTTCTCTTTCTAAAATTAATAAAATAATGTCCTTGGGTGAGGATTTTTTAAAAAGACAGATAAGCTCTTGTCAGGATAATTCACTTATTGTTCTACTTCCCATCTAAGCAACTGAATTAACTGTTACCATAATTCCTGGGATGGGTGTGTGTAGGGAGAGGACATGAACATATTAGGACTAGAAATTGTAGGAATCCCAGTGCTCTGCCCACCAGACACAGGACATCTGCCCTTTCCTTTTTTGTTTTTTAATATATTTTTATTGATTTCAGAGAGAGAGAAATAGAAACATCAATGATGAGAGAGAGTCATTGATCGGGTGCATCCTGCACGCTCCTTGCTGGGGATAGAGCCTGCCATCCAGGCATGTGCCCTGACTGGGAATTGAACCGTGATCTCCTGGATCTTGATACTCAACCGCTGAGCCCTGCTAGCTGGACTGCCCTTTCTTTTTACTACTTAAGTGCTTTGTTTGTTTGGGTTTTAAAAACGTAAGTCCTGAATTTCCCCAAAATAGTAGCATTCCTCCTTACATATCCAGCATTTGATGGGGGTCCAGGGGGAGTTCCGTTTATCAGATTTATTGAGTTGTTGTTGTGTGCCAGGCAGTGTCCTAGGCTTTCAGAAGTGAAATACTGTCCTCGGAGAGGACACCAACAACAAAGGAGGAGCTAGGTGGTAAGGTCTAGAAAAGAGTTAGGGTCCAAGAATGGAACACACATGAGGAATGAGCGTAAGGGGTAGGACCATCATAAGGGTTCAGATTGGAAATCACTAAGGACTTAAATGGTTTCTGGGCAGACAAGGAGGTTCTCTAAGAGAGGACAGCAGAGAGAAAAGCATCTTTGCCAAGTACATGGGGTGGTGGTTGATTAGGTCAGTATGACTAAGCTCTTTGAGGGCAGGGACTGTCCCCCTCAACTGATGAGAGTAGTAGGCCTGATCACTTCCTCTGTCAGTCAAGAGACCTGTAGGAAACTGGGTTTTCAGCAAGTGCTGTGGATGGAAATTCCGTTGTCTCCCTTTTTGTCCCTGTTTGTTTATAAACATTGGTCCTAGGCATTCATTCCTAGTCGGTGAGAAGGAGCCTCTCTGCTGACTTTTTCCAAAACTAATCTGAATATATAAAACTATTAATGACTTGATACCTTTTAGTGGGGATCGTTACCATTTCTGTGACATTTAAATATAAAAAATGGCCAACATTAAGAGATACTTTGACTTGATGTAAGAAGGTTTTTAAGAATGTTTAGTCGTACCCAGCCAGTGTGGCCCAGTTGTTGAGCATCGACCTATGGTCCAAGCGATTGAGGTTCAATTTCCAGTCAGGGCACATGTCTGAGTTTTGGGCTGCATCCCCAGTGGGGGCGTGCAGGAGGCAGCCGATCAATGACTCTCATCATTGATGTTTCTATCTCCCTCTCCCTTCCTCTCTCTGAAATTAATAAAGACATACTAAAAAAAAGTTTAGTCATGCTCTGATACAATGATATGTTTCTAAGCTATAAATTGGAGTACGTCCAACAGCCACCTAGTGTTTGTTGGATGTAAAGGATATTTCATTCAAAAAGACTATTTTAATGAGTTGTTTTCTTTTATGGGGGTTTAGAATTAGCCACTGGATACTTTTCTGTTGTTAGTTACTTTGTCATTAATCTACTCACTAAAACTAGACAGTTTTCATTTTGGCTAAACAGATTATTAATCCTGTTCACTGTCATCTTTGTTTTCATAATGATAACATTACCACTTATTAATTTTGAATATTAGTGCCCTTACCTTTTATTTATTAAACTTTGTGGTTACAAAATAGTCCTAGTGTGGGACTGCTAAAGTTGGATAAGTTATTCGAGTTGATTGGGAGTGTCTGACATGTTTAGGCTCAGAGCAATTCTTAGAGAAAACAGACTGATCAAAACAAAAATTATTTGCGCTGGCTGTTTCAAAGGATTCTTTTAGTTGATTTGAAGCAGAGCTCACAAGTATCATCTGCCACTTCTTTTCAGTAAAGTAGCAGCCACTGTGATACGTTTTACAAAAATTACAGTTCCCTTAACTAAAGCTTAAAAAATAAAAATAACTGGAAACAAAAGTAAGAATAATAGCCATAACAAAATATGAATTTGATTTGTAAATTGCCATCACAGAGTAACATAGTGAGGTCCCAAATTGGTGCTAATATAAGGAAGACAGTATTTTGTCATTGAGCTGTGCCTTTTTAAAATCAAAACATAGCAAATATCTCCAGGCTGCTTTTTGTGCCTTGTAGAGGATCACTTTAAGCTACACTCTTCCCCTCTGGTTGAGCCATTAAGGAATTCTGAGGATTTTGGTGGTGCACAAACATGCTTCCTGTTTCAAGGCTGTTTCAGTGTCATTTGACTCTGGAAAGCAAATTTGTTCCAGAACTGAAAGTGAAATTGAATTAACCAGGTTTGACTCAGTGACATTTGAAATTATATCTGGTGTAAGAGATTAAATTAATGGAATATGCTGTAGCTTTGTTTTCTTGTGACATTTTATATTCACGTAACTTCTCTGGATTGTACAGATGAGGGCTACTGCCCCGCCTCCACCAAGGTTGTAAACAAGTCTTTTGGTATTGCATTGGTGTCTACAGTGTGTTACTAATTTTATAAAAGCCAGTCATATGCCTTTCCCTTCACCTCAAGAACATCATCTGACTTTGAAGTGCTTCATCAGTCCCCTGAGATGGAGAGCCTGCGAGTGGGGTCCCTGCTCTCTGTGTGACCACGTGACACTCACTGGTAGACACATTCCCCCTGCTTATTGGAGGCCAAGTAGCATGGGCACCCTGGGTCCTAAAAGCAGTCAGGAAGTAGTTCCTATGAAGAATAGGTTTCTAGTTCTCAAATTTAGCCAGCATGCCTCTGATTTACTTTTTTTTTTAGTTTTAAAAATTTGTACTGTGAAATATTTACGTTTTCTATAACTGAGAAGCATATAAAGTGACCTACACAAACAAAAACTTGGTTTAAATGTTATCTCAATTGGAAAGGGACAGTAATACATGATAGTTTGCTTGTTAATATTAAAATAAATAAAAATTGGGTATGTTAATTTTTATGTGTAAATTTTAAAAAAATAATTCCCCTCCCACACTTGACAATATAATAAAGAAGTCATGTTTATATATAACTAAATTTTGTGTGAATGCTAAAAAGTTTAATACAATTTCTAAATTCAGACTAAAGCTGTTAGAAATCAAGATTATGTCCAGTGTTCTGTATAAGAATTTTGCCCAAGATAACATTTTTTCAAGCCATTTGTTAATATGATAAATGTAATTTTAAATGATTTTTATGCTAAATTTATGGTAGTAATAAATTATATTATGGTAATTGAAAACTAAAAATTCTTTTTAATTATGTAATGACTAGTAAATGCTACACAGTGTTCAGGGTAAAACATACATAGGCTGACCTGCAGTTGTGAAGTGTGGAATGGCTGGGCTCTTACAGATACTCGCTACTTCTGCTTTTCCCTTTCGAGATTTATTGATGTCCATGTTGTTGTTATTTGTTTTTCTGATAATGATATATTAAAATGTATAAATGGGTTTTGTTTTGTTTTTTACAAATTGCAAATTTATTGTTTTTGCTTCATCTTCATTTGTTTTATTTGCAGGTGTTGACTTTAAAATTAAAACTGTAGAGCTAAGAGGAAAGAAAATTAGGCTACAGATCTGGTAAGTGGAGAATCTGTACTCAGTAATTGCCATACATGTTTAACAATCTATATGCTTGTCTAATTCAATTAACCATTTGAGCTGGTTTGCCTCTCCTACTTTTCCTCTCCTTTGCTCATGTTTAAATACAATGAACAGTGAGAGAGAATTTAGAAGGGTCTACTTATTTCATATGCCATTCGCACGTGGGGAGTTATGCAAAGAAGAACATTAACGATAGTTAATATGGAGCCTTTATGCCTCTATTTTCAAGTCATTTGACAAAACTGTCACCACTAAAATGATTGCTGCAATGCTTGTCTTCATGTTTTTACAGTTGTTTTGTTTGATAGTATTCAAAGAGAGTTCAGTATGTTTCTGACCAGATTTGCAGTTTCAAGCCAAAAAACCTCTAGATAGTTCAGAGACTATCCTTGGTGGCACAGTGTGAGTATCACTGTGGGACACACACACTCTCCTTCTGGCCATTTTGCTGATGCCACGTGAAGTAAGCCCCAGTTAATGTCAACTGGAAATGAATCCACAGCCCCTTTCTCACATTATAATTGTATGAGAGACCAAACCAACTGTGTTCAGCTCTAAGAACTCTCCGCTGGCTCTCAGCAGCCCACAGGGGTCATTAGGAAACCGGTCTGTGGAGAAAGGATCAGGTCTGGTGGTGGTTTAAAAGCCGCCACGGAGGTGTCCTGAGAATGCCCTTTTGTTTTTAACGGCACAGCTGCAGTGTACTCAGCTTACTAACTCCTCTCGGCAGGTCAACCTCAGCTCTGAGTGTTTGTCCACCATGTGTGTGTTTGCTTTCATCTGCGTTAATTGCTGCCTCATCTGTGGCATCATCGGTCACCTAATGCTTGAATGTTAGTGCCATGCCTTCATTCTTCATCCGTGTCCCTGTCTGGGGCACAGCTGCAGCCGAACCAGCATTGCTTGCCCACCGGAGGTGTCTGAGGTAATATCTTTATTTGGCCATCTGTGACTATATAACCCACTTTAAGACTTTTTGGTTTTTGTTGTTTTTTTGGTTTTTGTTTTAACTTAATTATGAAACACGAACAGTCTCGCCTAAATACTTGATACCAAAAATAATGCATATTTCTAACTAGATTAGCCCATGATTAGAAAGGCAGCAAACTTTGTGTTTTGCTGTCTATTTTTTGAACTCTGGAAATGGCAACAAAGTATCTTTCATATGAGCTGCTGTTTTTAATTTTATAAGCTCTTCAAGGAAAAAACCATCTTTAAAAGTATCTGGAGTATGTCCACCTTTGTACATAGCACCTGTAGGTGAGATACTTCTTGATGGAAATTGCCTCACAAACAAGATAAAGCTAATATTAGAATGTTGGTGAAGCTTGCTTAGTGGATGACAGCGGTGTCTAAGTGATGACATGGTGGCCTGTGTTAAAAACATACCTTAATTAATGTATTAATAATTTTGTTTTCATCTCAGGCAGTAGTAGTCTGTTTTACAGAAGTGTGTCCAAATGCCCTGTGCCTCCCTTGGCTCTGCTCCCTGAAGTCTGCTGGTGACATTGGGTACTTCTGGAGTCTCACTTCAGTGCCTTTGAATCTGATTTGAGGGCCCTATCTTATGAATCGCAGTCCATGGGGAAAAGTGATTGTGAGAGGAAAACAAGATTCACTGAACCTGCTGAAAGCATGATGGCAGTTTTGCATGGGACTAGCCCGGTGATTGAGTTAGGAAGTGGGACTTGTCTTCTCCTGAAGGGAAAGACTTTGTTGTCCAGTAGGTAGAAAGGAAGCACACTGGAGTCGTAATTCATTGCTTAAAGTAACACGTGGCTTATTTTGGAGTGAGCAGCAGTCCTTGTGCTGTTGCTGCTGTAATCTTGCTTGTCAAGGGCATGTTTTCGTCACTACTGTCACCAGTTGAGGGCATAGGAGGAGCTCATGTAATTGGAAGGAGCTCTTCAAAGAGACTGCTAATAATAGCTGTGCTCCAGTTTTGTACACTGTCAGTCCATGGGAGCACTGACAGTCGGTCTTTACAGAGAGATGTCGTCAGAAGAAATGCATTTTTTCTTGATGATTTCTGGATATAGCCAATCTAAGAAAATAGTATTTACTGTAGATTCTTAAAGGTTTAAGGTACCAAAAGCTACAGGTGTCACATTTTTAGGTCACATTTTTCAGTTCCTTGATATCTGGGGTTAGAAGGAGGACCATTTTCCCATCTCTGTACTTAGAGTGTTTGTACGTGTATGTATATAAGAGCTTAAAGTATAATTAAAATTAAAATGTTTCTGCTAGAATACTGTTTCATGAATTTACATCCAAACACTATCCTGAAAACTATACACAGTGACTTAGAGTCATTGCGTTCAAATGGACTTGAAGCCTTGAAATTTGTCTCCTCTCTTTAGGCAAAGAGTTGAAATGCTTATATAAGGGCCCCTCATTCTGTCCATCATGTCAGTCTTCACTGTTGGGGAATTTGGTTTTCACCAGTGTTCTTATATTAACATCAGATCCCTTTCCTTTCATTCTGTGCTTGGAAGAGGTAGAGCATCTCACATACTGAAGTTGGTTCCTGCCCTTCAGATTAGTAATTGTATCATTTCACTGGATATAATAAGTATAACAAATGAGAATCTTTGAATTTTTAAAACATCATTGTATTACCAAATTGGGGAAACAGAATTGCAGGAATATTTTAATTTACAACAAAAATAGAGAGAGAAATAATAGTAAGATCACATGCTAGCCATAGTAAATGATGATTTCGCTGACACTAATAAACTGCAAATCCCTAGAAATAAGCTCTTTGTCATTACAGTGACAATTCAGGTTCATGGTGATAATGGGGGGGGGGG